ATATTACAGAAAGTACAACATGTAATATCAAACATAATTCGATTGATGGTAAATTGATGAAAGAAATAAAAGTTATAATTTGGGATGAAATATCAATGACTTCTAAATACGCATTCGAAGCAGTAGATCGATTAATAAGAGACATCAATGACAACAGTGAACAATTTGGCGGTAAAACCGTCATTGTTTCTGAGGATTTTCGACAAATATTGCCAGTTGTTAGATACGGTAATCGTACAGATATTATAGAAAACTGTGTCAAATACAGCAATATATGGAAAAATTTTTCTAATATGACTCTCACCGAGAATTTAAGAATGAAAGAAAATGATGAAGATTTCAAAAGGTGGTTATTAAATGTTGGAGAGGAAAAAAATAGAGATTCATTTGAAGATGATCATAAATTATTAGAAATTCCAAATTGTATGATATCGGAAGAAGAAAATATTATTCAAACTATATTTGGTAAAGAAATGAAATTTAATAACTTACAAGTAAACGACAAAGTAATTTTGGCGCCTACAAATAATGATGTGATAAATATCAACAATGAAATTTTAGATATGATGAAAGGTGAATGTCACGAATATCTAAGTTTAGATACTGCAGAAGATGATAATGGAGATAATTTAGATGTTATGTTATCGATTGAGTTCCTTAATTCATTAACTCCAAATGGATTACCACCTCATCGTTTGAAATTAAAAGTGGGTGCTGCAATAATACTGTTGAGAAATCTCAATTTGAATGAAGGACTTTGTAATGGAACACGTTTAATAATAGAGAAACTTCATATACATAGCATCCAAGGAAAAATAACTTGTGGAAATAATATTGGAAAAGTTGTTCTTATACCACGAATAACTATATCACCTTCAAAAGAAGATGTACCATTCAATATGAGTCGTAGACAGTTTCCAGTTCGATTAGGTTTCGCAATGACTATTAATAAATCACAAGGACAATCCTACGATCGAGTTGGAGTTTATTTATCAACTCCGGTGTTCAGTCATGGACAATTATACGTTGCATTATCTAGAGCAAGGAATAAAAATAATTTAAAGATTCTTTAATTGAATGATGCGATAATACAAAGAAAAGGTAATAAATTCAAAAATAAAATTTATACAAAAAACATTGTTTTCAAACAGATTTTGTAGAAACGGACGGTAGCAGCATGATCAATGATGCAGCGCCAACATTATATGAAAAATATTTAATGAAAATAACGGCATAATAATTACGATTATGCACTGCCAAATGCAATGACATCATCATCATTAATGCAGCGCTGAAACGTACGGTAGCAGCTTGATCAACAACGCAGCGCTGAAACGGACGGCGGCAGCATGATAAATCATGCAGCGCTGAAATGTACGGTAGCAGCATGATCAACAATGCAGCGCTGAAACGGACGGTAGCAGCATGATCAACAACGCAGCGCTGGGTGATCAACATGGTCGACGAGACACCATCCCCGAGGAAGTGCACGAGGTATATAGTGATTCCATAAAAAAAAATTTTTGAACCAGAAGATGTCCAGTATAAATAAATCAAGTATAAATATATATATATGGGACGATCCATGTCAACCGGATCACTGCTGTGTCCAAAATTTGATGTGACCAAAAAAATCGTGCAACGACTCATTTTAAAGCTTAGGATATCTACTTTCTGATGCTGTGTGCGCCTTTGCAAACTCCAACATGGCGGCTCCAATATGGCGGCTACAAGAGACAAACTCGTAAACAAAAAATTTTATTTTTCAAATTTTTAGTAATAAATGTTAAAAAAATTAATATTTCATATTTTTTTATGAAAATCTGGCTCATTTCCTACAAAAAAGTAACAGAGACCATTTTCGCTAAAATGAAAAATAAAAAAGTTATAATTTTTTGAAAATTTTCAAAAATAAAAAACTGCGATTTTTTTACTCAGAAGAAAATGACTTTGGAAAAAAAATTTAAGGCACAAAATTGCTTGAAATTCATCAAAACACAAGTGTGAATTTTTTCGAATTCCTTTGAGCGATTTTTTGCTTTTTGGATTTATCGGATTGTTTAAAAAATTAAAAAACTTCCCAAGATCTTTTACAAAAAATCGCTCAAAGGAATTCGAAAAAATTCACACTTGTGTTTTGATGAATTTCAAGCAATTTTGTTCCTTAAATTTTTTTTCCAAAGTCATTTCCTTCTGAGTAAAAAAATCGCAGTTTTTTATTTTTTTAACTTTTTTATTTTTCATTTTAACGAAAATGGTCTCTGTTACTTTTTTGTAGGAAATGAGCCAGATTTTCATAAAAAAATATGAAATATTAATTTTTTTAACATTTATTACTAAAAATTTGAAAAATAAAATTTTTTGTTTACGAGTTTGTCTCTTGTAGCCGCCATATTGGAGCCGCCATGTTGGAGTTTGCAAAGGCGCACAAAGCATCAGAAAGTAGATATCCTAAGCTTTAAAATGAGTCGTTGCACGATTTTTTTGGTCACATCAAATTTTGGACACAGCAGTGATCCGGTTGACATGGATCGTCCCATATATATAAATCAAGTACATGAATTGAGCTTTATCTAGAGAATTTCATACAACTTTGAAACTTATTACAAAATGTCTGCTCAAATAAAATAAAATAATACCATTATTGTATATATACAGAATTTCAAACATATACACTCATATATATATATATATACATATATGTATGCATTTTTACACAGATGTAACTCAATTGATTTATTAATCATCAGGATATATAAATTAGTTGAAAATTATTGATGCAATTTGTTAACTTAAAATAAATATCTTACGAATAATAATTTCTTTTGCCATGTTTCGATACACAAAAACTTGTTTTGATAGTAGTACAGATACTAGTCAGTATAGTAGCTGACAATGAGGAGCGCTTACTAGAGCGCTGCTAACATCACATTCCTTTTTCAATTGTCTCATGCACCATACAGATCATACCTTGTGATAAACTCTAAATGTAAACATTGAAATCAAAGCACGTGTATATTTCGAGGATGAGAATCAAAAAATATAATTGAATATTACAAACTAAAACGTCTTAAATTGTAGGTAAGTAAACGATACAATAATTTATAATACTTGGAATTTTCACGATTGCATATCATTTAAAATTGTTATTGTACACGCGGAGATATTGATCAAACACAGCGTCGAATTTCGCATCTCGTTTTTCAGCAAGGAATCTATAAAAATATTTCCAAATTATTTATAATATTATTAGCTTTATTTACAATATTATTAGCTTTGCTAATTAACAAGGATTATGTTATCAATTACATTGTAAAACTTAAGAGACTCCAAATATTCTTGATCGACTATTTAAAAGAATATTTTCAATTACTTTTATTTACATTGATTTATCACAATTTTTGAATTAATGAATTCTATTTGACAATAATACAATAATAAAGTGATTATCAATAAAATTCAATTTGAATAATGATATGATATGCCTATTACATTTATGTAACGAATGTAACATTGTTATTGTACACCGTCCCCGAGGAAGTGCACGAGGTATATAGTGATTAAACAAAAAAAAATTTTTCGGCCCAGGAGAAGATGTCCAGTTGCCAGGGTGACTTCCTGGGTAACCGCAGGTGCAAGTGTACATGGGTAACCTGATTGTGGATGTCATGATGACCATATCCAGGGTGTGCAACTACCCCAAAATTTAATTCGTGCACTTTGTATAGATGAGCCCTCGTAAGATATCTGTACAGTCGGACGTACGGACACAAAAGTGATTTCACTTTAATATTATGTAAGATAGCGAAATTATCAATTTTGTCCTCATCAGATCTAATTCACCTACCACATGGTTTTCTGAACTTTGAAACCTTTGTTCTCTTTGCACTGATAAGTATAAAATTGAGTATTATTTTCTTTTAGTGCACTTACAATCGGCAAGTATTTTTCAGACGTTGTAGGTTAGTTTTCACTTTGTTGGATGCTAGTACTTACAAAGTATACCTGTCTTTGGCTACTGTATTAAAAACATTTTCCACGGGGCGTATATTCTTCGCATAATAAACAAATATCGGTAGTGCTTTGTTTTCTTAGGTTTAGCTGAATTCTCTTCCTGGCTTTGAGATTCGTTGTCATTTTGTTGAATTCGCCAATAACCCGTTAGTTACGCTTACTTTTTACTACAGGTTTGGCCTCCTGGGCTAGTACGTAACCTTCTGTAGTTTGCGTGTTTACATATATTATTGTTTTTTTATGTTTGTTTATGTGTTTTTTGTTGTGGTTAATATATCATCCCCTGATTGTGTGGCCATTTTTGGCCGTTACAATTTATTATACCCCTTTAGCGTGAGGTTTGAGTTAGGATAAACACTACTTTTGATTTTCAATTGCTTTATTGATTGACTTTGATTTCAAGAGAACAAAGCGCAATAACACGTCTGGTCTCCTTGGGTGTTAAACGTAGACTGAGGTACACGATTAATATCTTATTTATGATTTGGCGGGGTTGCATCCCAACTGACGTTCTACCTAAATAGTTTTGCATAAGATTGTCCGCTTTGCCACAATCAACTTATTTTTTCCAAATATATATTTCAAAAATCTGTTTAGCATATATACCAGTACAAACCGTGATACGTCTCAGTGATCCTATTTGGCATTATAAAGCTTACCGATTCTTTTGATAATTCCTGTTGAAAATAACGCATAAAAAATCGTTTTTACATCAATGTAACTTTTGCTTAACAATTGCCCTAAGAAAAAATTGAATACGTGGTTAACAAATGTAAACTAATACGTTCACTTATTCCTTGTAGCCTTGAGAAGAATGATCTAAAAACGTCATCGAAATTAATAAAGATTGGATCAAAAAAACCGAAAAGAGAAAGATTTGAGTGATTACTTAAAAATCTCCTGTTTTAAAATATTTTACTGAATGACTTGGATTATATATTGGATTATAGCAATAAGTATTTTACGAATTTTTTTTTCTGTTGCAGCGATCTTGGCTCATTTTTTCTTCCTTGCAACTTTTTTTTGGCTCAACACCATGTGCTTCAATATATGGTGGACTTTCAGGTTAGTAATTAAAAAAAATACTCTACGAATTGCATTGACCATACTTGTGAATTCTTGAACGGTAAAATAACCCGTGGTTTTCCTTTTGTTTTACTATGATATTACTATAAAAGTTTTTATTACGATGTAACTATTTTTTTATAATACTTTTGTTATGATATTACTAAATGAATGGATAACGCATATTTTTGAAAATATCTCTAAAAAAACTTTAAGGGAGTATGGGAGTAATTTAGAATTATTCATACAGATAGAACCGCTTGAAGTACAAATAAATACAAGTAATTTTCAGTTTCAAGAAAAGTTATAAACCATGTTCGAATCGATAAATCTTAATGAAATTTATTTTTTTTCTATTTGAAAATATTTTCCAGAGTTTAAACAAATATTAGCTAATTGTTGGAATAGAACTGACAAAATAAGCATCCCAGAACATCTTGTAGCGATCTTTAACTTCAATTACCGTCGGCTATTTTTTATCATCTCTTATGAGCAGTTGCATGACCATAGACGCGTTACATTTTACGATAACCGCTTGGTATTGAAACGTACGAGTGAAACATGTATGAAAATTATTTTCAAATATTGAAAATTAATAATAAATTTAAATATTTAATTATATAAAGTAGATTTGTTTATTAGTTTTTATTTTTAAAAGATAGAATTCATTAAATTGAAATGATTAATAGATTTTTTTTATATGAGTTAAGTTGTGATATGTGCGTTTCAGATCCCCGCTCGTCTATTTGAAAACCCCAATGCACTTGGATATTCGATCGTTCAACTGAAGTTGCACCAAGAGTGTATTTTTAAAACAGAAAATGCCTGTAACCGTAGCTTCCTGTTAGTGAAAAGAGGGTATCCATATCAACACAAACTCAGGAAATTATATTTATTTTTCTAATATTAACCTTTTTCTAACACGATATAATTCTTACAATTGCCATGCATATACAGGGTGAGGAAAAAGAATGGAAACCCCGGAAAATTCGGAAAACCGCACGGGGTTAGTCATGAAACAAAGGTCATACCCTATGTAACTTTCAATGAGGAACCCAATGATTACCTCTGATTAGACCTTGAACCTCATTTTCGAGTTTATTTCAAGGTCAACCTTATTTTTTTATATGGGAACCCCTATTTTTTATACTCGAATCAAAAAGAGCGATAAATTTTACGGGTGGAAACGATTCAAGTCCGAAGATATCGTAACTCCTAATCCTCCTTTTAGCGCTATCCAGGAACAACGTAGAAGGAATCTGTTCCCTACGGGGTGCTTTTTTATAATGAGCCTTGCCTCTCACTTAGAACTGCTTTTTAATAGTGAGTTCCCCTTGCCTCTCACTTCGAGGTACTTTTTAATTTTAAAACGTAAATTAATTTACAACAGATGTTCAAATTGTTCTTCATTCGCTTCTTGACAGTAACCAATCTTATTGTAGAATGATTGAGTTGCATTTTGGATTATCTGCCGTGGAATGGCATTAATTTTTTAAACTATTCTATGTCTTAATTCTTCAAGATTTTGCGGATTACTTCTGTATATCCGATCTTTTAAATACCCCCACAAAAAATAGTCCAAAGGGCTTAAATCTGGAGATCTTGGAGCGCACTCTACTGTACCTCTTCTACCTATCCATCTATCAAAAAATGTTTCATTGAGGTATTGTCTGATATTCACACCGTAATGAGCTGAAGAACCATCTTGCTGAAACCATGTATTTTCAAAATCATCACCTCTTAAGGCCTGGATAGCTGGAACAATTTGATTTTGCAAAAGTTGTTCATAACTTACAGCGTTGAAATTTCCTTCGATAAAAAAGGAACCTATTATTATATCGCATACTATTCCTGCCCACACGTTTAATTTTTTAGGATATTGAGTGTGACTTTCTCTCATCCTATGAGGATTTGTGTTGGACCAATACCTAAAGTTATGATGATTGACTTCACCATTTAATTGAAATGTCGCTTCGTCTGAAAAAACAATATTTTGTAAAAATATTGGATTTTCATTAATCATTTACATCATTGTCTCACAAAATTTTAGTCGACGATCAGGATCATCCTCATTCAATTCCTGCACAAGTTTCATTTTATAAGGATGACACTTGTTTACATTTAAAATTTTATAAACAGATTTTTGATCGATCTCCTGTTGTAAAGCTACTGATCGAGATGATTCATTTGGATTTCCCACAAAAGACAGTAAAACATCTAAAGATTTTTCTTCATTTATTGCTGTTCGTGGTCTCCAGTAACAGAACGATTTTTAATAGACCCCGTTTCTTGAAAACGTCTTAAGGTTTTTAAAACTGTAGATTTAGACAAAGGAGTGTCACCATCGCCGTTTCGAAATGTTCTATTAAAGAGATTAATAACATTAGTATACGACCTTTGCTGATCACCCCAACCCATCATCATTAGATGAGATATTTGTTCTCTTTCGGACAAACGAAATATTTTAAAAGTTTGAAAAAAACAAAAATTGAATATTGTTATTGTAAAAAAAAAAAACTATGAAATATTTGACGAATTTGTCGAATTTGTTTTTTTTATTGGTCAAGTATTTTTTTTTCTAGAGCCTATTTACTATGAAAACAATGTAACGGGTATTCAGACTTCCCCGTGGTAGGTGATGCTAAATAGCTACTCGGCTCGTTGCAGGCTCGGTACGGGGTTACGCGCAACCCAGCCCAGTGGCTCAGCTATGCCACTTGAAGGCTTCATTACCTTCGGCCCGCGGAGAGCGTCGCAAGTCAGGTAGTTGCTGGTGGTGCGAGTCAGTACGTGTATAGCGCGGGAGGGGAGAGCGCCGAAAGGAAAGACACAGTGGTTAAGAGAAATAGCGTTTACTAAAATGAAGGAAATAAAGGAAGCGTACAAATGATATGCGCCGTGAGACAGACAAGCAGGAAGCGAGCGAGAGAGAGATAGATAATCGAGCAAGTACTTACACGTCGGCTTCGCAGTAGCCTCGAGCTCGCTTCCGAAACACACAAGTATTCAGCCTCGGGGCAGCCTTCTCGACCCGATCAACAGTTCATCAGCACGCAAGCACACAGCACACAGTCCGCAGGATGCACTTCGGTGCCACGGTCTTCCACGCGATCACGCACACTCTGCACTCTCGGTTCCTAACGACAAAAACGCAGGCTACGTAGCACAAAGGCATCTACCGATCGCGCGTTGACGGCTAGGCCTGCGTTCCTCACGAAGGCGGGCATCTAATTGTTCTTCGCACGCGGAAGAGGTCCCCCTCTCTCTCCTTGGCTATTCGGCAGCGGCGCGTCTCAGCTAATTAGGCAAACGCGCGCGACACTCATGCGTCCACGCACTCACGCATACACGCGATTCTCTCTCTCTGCTCGGCGCTCTCTCACTTACCTCGTGCAGCGTCAGCAGCTGCGGCTAGATAGGAAAAATACATAAAAGAGTTATTAATAAATTATAATTGACTTAAGGGAAGAGAGAGACATAACGAGACTCAACTCGTTATAACAACAAAATATGGTTTCAACTTCCAATTAGTAGAAGTCAAGAACAAATAAGATTTAAAAATCTTAATGATAACAATTTTTTAATTATTATTTGTAAAAGAACATTTATTTTATTTTTAAATTTTCACTTCATTCAAATGCTTTGAAAATAATTTTGTATTTCTAATAAACAATTAGCTTTACAGCCCACGAAAGAGGAGAAAACGTAACTTTTCACGAAAAAAAACGTGATTTTCCAGTTTTTCACAATTTTAATGATATTTTATGCTCAAAGTATTGACTTTCTATTTTCTAAAGTGAAAGATGAAGACTGCGAAAAAATGAGATCCAGATAAACTGTGCAGTGTAAAAAAAGAGTTGTCTTTTTTTTCAAAATTCTAAAAAAATACGAGAAAGACAGATCTTCAAATCTCTTTTTATTCGTTTTCTAGCAAAAATTAACCCTGTTTTTGTATTTGTTAAAAAATATTGTTTTCTCAGACGAAGCTACATGTCAATTAAATGGCGAAATCATTCGCCATAACCGTAGATATTGGTACGATAAAATCCTCATTGGATGAGAGAAAGTCATACTCAATATCCTCAAGTATTAAACGTGTGGGCATAAATGGTAGGTGACACAAAAATAGGTCCCTTTTTTATCACAGGAAATTTGAACGCTGTAACTTTTGTGAAATCAGATTGTTTCAGCTATCCAATCGTTAAGATGTGATGATTTTGAAAATATATGGTTTCAAGGAGGATTAGGGGTCACGCTATCTTTGAATCGTTCACATCCGCAAAATTTATCGTTCTTTTTGTTCTAGTATAAAAAATAGGGGTTTCCATATGAAAAAATAAGGTTGACCTTGAAATAACCTTGAAAATGAGGTTCAAAGTCAAATCAGAGGTCACCGTTGGGTTCCTCGTTGAAAGTTACATAGGATATGACCTTTGTTTCATGACTAACTTCATGCAGTTTTCCGAATTTTCCCGGGGTTTCCATACTTTTTCCTCACCCGGTAGACAGGTTCAAAGCTGAAAGGATCTACTTGAATAAGATGGTTAAATAATAATAAATAATAATATTGGGAGTACAAATAGAAAATCGCCGTTTTTTCTAATAATTTGAGGTTTTATTGTAAAAAACTCGTTACAATCTCATTCTTCAAAATAATTTCCATCCTTAGTCACAACTTTTTCCCATCTTTCTGGCAGCTTCTGAATTCCTCTTCGAAAAAACTATTCGTCTTTTGACGCGATCCACGAATCGATCCAATTTTTGGTTTCTTCGTAAGAACGAAAGTGCTGTTCGGCCAGGTCATGCGTCATCAATCGGAACAAGTAGAAATCAGAAGGGGCGATGTCAGGAGAGTACGGCGGGTGCGATAGGATGTCCCATTTCAAAGTTTCCAGGTATGTTTTCACGACCTTGGAAACATGTGGCCGAGCGTTGTCATGCAGAAATATGACCTTGTCGTGCCTTTCCGCGTACTTTGGGCGTTTTTCCTTTAACGCTCG